TCTGGCGTGGGCTGGTCCATGAGGTCACGAAGAGTCGGAGACGACTGAACGAATGAACAACAACAAAGTTTAGGAAACTGAGCTCCCGTTGGGTCCCGAAACTCCTAACAGAGGACCACAAAAACCACAAAAAAGATTTGAGTGTGCGATCAAATCAAATCGTCTATAATCAAAGAAGGGTGACTGGACGTTGTCACGGTCATCTTTGAATTGTCGTACCTCGTATATATGACACATCTTCCCCAATTCCTTTGGGCTTGGTTGACCATTCTCCACAAGTCACCCAACACTTAGTGCTGACCATTTAGGGGAAAAAGCAGAAGGATGAATGCAACATTGCAATCCGGAAGAAGAGCGGAGGTGTAAGCAATAACATTGTCAGGAGGTCAGTCTGCTCCAGGATTACAACCTGAAAGCTCCCCGAAGCCCAGTTGAGCTGCAAACTGGCTTGCGAAAGTGAATTTCCTTCTTCAGACAAGAGAGAAAGGAGAGTTGAGGGAATGCTAAATTGGTGCGCTGCGCTCAAATGAAGTGAAACGAAACATGGAACAGGGCTGAGTCCAGATGTTGACAAACTGGCAAGAAACTGGACATCGGGGAGAGGATTCAATGCCTGCTTAGAACAATTTTCTCTCGTAATTAAAAATGGTAAGAGAAAATTGAGCAGCCAGCATCAAAACTCCAGGACTGGGGATAATGGGAAGCCATTGCTCTCGATAACACTATGCAACATGATTTTTGTTCCTGGGTTAAAAATGTCATTTCCTAATTAGATCTTTGTTGTTCATTCGTTCAATCGTCTCTGACTCTCATGGACCAGCCCACGCCAGAGCTCCCTGTCAGCCGTCACCACCCCCAGCTCCTTCAAGGTCAATTAGATCTATCATTAGACCTAATTCACCGTCACCACCCCCAGCTCCTTCAAGGTCAATTAGATCTATCATTAAAAAAAGTTCATTCAACTGCACAAACTTTGTTCTTTGTGGGAGGGTCAACCTGCAGCACATTATTATATTATAATTATTATATTTATTATGGAAGGAAATGGAAGGAAAAAGGAAGAGGGGCCGACCAAGGGCAAGATGGATGGATGGCATCCTTGAAGTGACTGGCTTGACCTTGAAGGAGCTGGGGGTGGTGATGGCCGACAGGGAGCTCTGGCGTGGGATGGTCCATGAGGTCACAACAGGGAGCTCTGGCGTGGGATGGTCCATGAGGTCACGATGGCCCTATGAGGAGCGGCTTAAGGAGCTGGGCATGTTTAGCCTGAAGAAGAGAAGGCTGAGAGGAGATATGATAGCCATGTATAAATATGTGAGAGGAAGCCACAGGGAGGAGGAGGGAGCAGGCTTCCTTTCTGCTTCCCTGGAGACAAGGACGCAATGGAACAATGGCTTCAAAGTACAAGAGAGGAGATTCCATCTGAACATGAGGAAGAACTTCCTGAGTGTGAGAGCCGTTCAGCAGTGGAACTCTCTGCCCCGGAGTGTGGTGGAGGCTCCTTCTTTGGAAGCTTTTAAACAGAGGCTGGATGGCCATCTGTCAGAGGTGATTTGAATGCAACATTCCTGCTTCTTGGCAGAATGGGGTTGGACTGGATGATGGCCCAGGAGGTCTCTTCCAACTCTTGGATTCTAGGATTCTATGAGGTCATGAAGAGTCGGAAACGACTGAATGAATGAACAACAAAATATTTATTATATCATATTATTATATTATGATTGTATAGTTATAGTTATATTATATAAGTATAATATTTTACACTATGTCACACGATTTTTGTTTCTGATTTATCAGTGTCATTTCCTAATTGGTTCTATCATAATAGCACTGGAAAACTTTTTTAAACTCCAAAAAATGTCTGCGGGAGGGATATCCTGCTATGAATGCAGTTCAATATCTCTTTACCTCAAGGCTGTGGAATCCTTGGAGTTGTGGTTTTTTCAGACTTTTCTGCCAAAAGGGGCCAATGCCTCACCAAAATACAGCTCCCAGGGATTCCACAGCATTGAGCCCATGGCACTTAAGTGGTGTCAAACTGCATTAATTTGATCGTGTAGATGCATCCCTGCTCTGCCAAGCTCAATATGCATGGATAGATTGGCTCGGATAACTCATTGCTCATAATAAATTAATTAAAATTACCTTTTTGAAGCGATATCAAAGCTTTTTAAAAAATATATGGAAGTCCCTTTGCCCTTCTGAAGCTTTTTCCGCCATTTTTGTTACGACTCAGGAACTGAATCGGAAATGTTTCAGCTTTTCCCCGCTTCTGGTCACTGGCCTCAGTTCAAGCCAGAGAAGCCAGTTTTAAACCAGAGAAGGAAGGAATTTCTTGGCCTCAGTTCAAGCCAGAGAAGCCAGTTTTAAACCAGAGAAGGAAGGAATTTCTTGGCCTCAGTTCAAGCCAGAGAAGCCAGGTTTAAACCAGAGAAGGAAGGAATTTCTTGGCCTCAGCTCAAGCCAGAGAAGCCAGTTTTAAACCAGAGAAGGAAGGAATTTCTTGGCCTCAGTTCAAGCCAGAGAAGCCAGTTTTAAACCAGTGAAGGAAGGAATTTCTTGGCCTCAGTTCAAGCCAGAGAAGCCAGTTTTAAACCAGAGAAGGAAGGAATTTCTTGGCCTCAGTTCAAGCCAGAGAAGCCAGTTTTAAACCAGTGAAGGAAGGAATTTCTTGGCCTCAGTTCAAGCCAGAGAAGCCAGTTTTAAACCAGAGAAGGAAGGAATTTCTTGGCCTCAGTTCAAGCCAGAGAAGCCAGTTTTAAACCAGTGAAGGAAGGAATTTCTTGGCCTCAGTTCAAGCCAGAGAAGCCAGTTTTAAACCAGAGAAGGAAGGAATTTCTTGGCCTCAGTTCAAGCCAGAGAAGCCAGTTTTAAACCAGAGAAGGAAGGAATTTCTTGGCCTCAGTTCAAGCCAGAGAAGCCAGTTTTAAACCAGAGAAGGAAGGAATTTCTTGGCCTCAGTTCAAGCCAGAGAAGCCAGTTTTAAACCAGAGAAGGAAGGAATTTCTTGGCCTCAGCTCAAGCCAGAGAAGCCAGTTTTAAACCAGAGAAGGAAGGAATTTCTTGGCCTCAGTTCAAGCCAGAGAAGCCAGTTTTAAACCAGTGAAGGAAGGAATTTCTTGGCCTCAGTTCAAGCCAGAGAAGCCAGTTTTAAACCAGAGAAGGAAGGAATTTCTTGGCCTCAGTTCAAGCCAGAGAAGCCAGGTTTAAACCAGAGAAGGAAGGAATTTCTTGGCCTCAGCTCAAGCCAGAGAAGCCAGTTTTAAACCAGAGAAGGAAGGAATTTCTTGGCCTCAGCTCAAGCCAGAGAAGCCAGGTTTAAACCAGAGAAGGAAGGAATTTCTTGGCCTCAGTTCAAGCCAGAGAAGCCAGTTTTAAACCAGAGAAGGAAGGAATTTCTTGGCCTCAGTTCAAGCCAGAGAAGCCAGTTTTAAACCAGTGAAGGAAGGAATTTCTTGGCCTCAGTTCAAGCCAGAGAAGCCAGTTTTAAACCAGAGAAGGAAGGAATTTCTTGGCCTCAGTTCAAGCCAGAGAAGCCAGGTTTAAACCAGAGAAGGAAGGAATTTCTTGGCCTCAGCTCAAGCCAGAGAAGCCAGTTTTAAAGCCAGAGAAGCCAATTTTAAACCAGAGAAGGAAGGAGTTATTATTATTATTATTACTATTATTATTATTATTATTATTATTATTATTATTATTATTATAACTTTATTTGTACCCCGCTAGCATCTCCCAAGGGATTCGATGCGGCTTACAACAGGCCGAACCCACAACAATACAACAATACAATACCTAGCAAATAAAACAGTTAAGCAAAAAAAAAAATAACAATAACAGTGCAACAAAACATTATTAAAAACTGAGCCGGCCAGGAGTAGGGGTACAGGATTAAAAGTGCTGATGTGTCGGACAGATATGGATTATAATATAAGTGTGGTGTGCAGTGTGCAGTGATCTTGGTTCTAACTAAAGTGCTTCTGGGATTTGGTACTGGGGTTCCTAGTCTGAGAAGGCACATTGGAACAGCCAGGTCTTCAAATTTCTTCTGAAGACTGCCAATGTAGGGGCTTGTCTGAGGTCTTTCGGGAGGGCATTCCAGAGGCGGGGGGCCACCACAGAGAAGGCCCTGTCTCGCGTCCCCACCAAACGCGCTTGTGATGTGGGCGGGATCACGAGCAGGGTCTCTCCAGATGACCGGAGTGAACGTGTGGGTTCGTAGATAACGATACGGTCATGCAGGTAGGGTGGTCCCAAACCGTTCAGGGCTTTGTAGGTGAGCACCTGCACCTTAAATTGGGCTCGGAAAATAAACGGCAGCCAGTGGGGCTCCTTAAACAGGAGGGTTGACCTCTCTCTGTAATAGGCCCCGGTTAACATCCTGGCTGCTGCCCGTTGGACCAATTGAAGTTTCCGAGCCGTTTTCAAGGGCAGCCCCACGTAGAGCGCATTGCAGTAGTCCAGTCTGGAGGTGACTAAGGCATGGACCACCCCGGCCAGATCAGCTTTAGCGAGGTACGGTCGTAGCTGGCGTACAAGTCTCAGTTGTGCAAAAGCCCTCCCGGCCATCGCCGACGCCTGAACCTCAAGCGTGAGCGATGAATCCAGGAGGACTCCCAAGCTACGGACCTGTGGCTTCAGGGGGAGTGTAACCCCGTCCAACACAGGCTGCCACCCTATACCCCGGTCTGGCTTACGATCGACCAGGAGGACCTCTGTCTTGTCGGGATTGATCTTCAGCTTGTTCGTCCTCATCCAGATAGACACAGCGGCCAGGCACTCGTCTAGCATCCGAGAGGCCTCCTTGGAATTAGGTGGAAAAGAGTAGTAGAGTTGAGTGTCATCTGCATAGAGTTTCCTAGCTTTGGTTCAAGCCAGAGAAGCCAGTTTTAAACCAGAGGAAGAAGGAATTTCCTCCGCTTGCTTTTCACCACTTCTGGTCTCTGGCCTCGGCTCAAGCCGAGGCAGAGGGACCAGAAGCGGGGGCAAGCGGAGGAAACTCCTTCCTTATCTAGCCTTGGCTCAAGCCAGAGAAGCCAGTTTTAAGCCAGAGAAGGAAGGGATTTCCTGGCCTCGGCTCAAGCCAGAGAAGCCAGTTTTAAACCAGAGAAGGAAGGAATTTCCTGGCCTCGGCTCAAGCCAGAGAAGCCAGTTTTAAAGCCAGAGAACCAGAGAAGGAAGGAATTTCCTGGCCTCGGCTCAAGCCAGAGAAGCCAGTTTTAAACCAGAGAAGGAAGGAATTTCCTTGCCTCGGCTCAAGCCAGAGAAGCCAGTTTTAAACCAGAGAAGGAAGGAATTTCCTGGCCTCGGCTCAAGCCAGAGAAGCCAGTTTTAAAGCCAGAGAAGCCAGTTTTAAACCAGAGAAGGAAGGAATTTCCTGGCCTCGGCTCAAGCCAGAGAAGCCAGTTTTAAAGCCAGAGAAGCCAGTTTTAAACCAGAGAAGGAAGGAATTTCCTGGCCTCGTCTCAAGCCAGAGAAGCCAGTTTTAAACCAGAGAAGGAAGGAATTTCCTGGCCTCGTCTCAAGCCAGAGAAGCCAGTTTTAAACCAGAGAAGGAAGGAATTTCCTGGCCTCGTCTCAAGCCAGAGACAGTTTTAAAGCCAGAGAAGCCAGTTTTAAACCAGAGAAGGAAGGAATTTCCTGGCCTCGGCTCAAGCCAGAGAAGCCAGTTTTAAACCAGAGAAGGAAGGAATTTCCTGGCCTCGGCTCAAGCCAGAGAAGCCAGTTTTAAAGCCAGAGAAGCCAGTTTTAAACCAGAGAAGGAAGGAATTTCCTGGCCTCGGCTCAAGCCAGAGAAGCCAGTTTTAAACCAGAGAAGGAAGGAATTTCCTGGCCTCGGCTCAAGCCAGAGAAGCCAGTTTTAAAGCCAGAGAAGCCAGTTTTAAACCAGAGAAGGAAGGAATTTCCTGGCCTCGGCTCAAGCCAGAGAAGCCAGTTTTAAAGCCAGAGAAGCCAGTTTTAAACCAGAGAAGGAAGGAATTTCCTGGCCTCGGCTTAAGCCAGAGAAGCCAGTTTTAAACCAGAGAAGGAAGGAATTTCCTGGCCTCGGCTCAAGCCAGAGAAGCCAGTTTTAAAGCCAGAGAAGCCAGTTTTAAACCAGAGAAGGAAGGAATTTCCTGGCCTTCGGCTCAAGCCAGAGAAGCCAGTTTTAAAGCCAGAGAAGCCAGTTTTAAACCAGAGAAGGAAGGAATTTCCTGGCCTCAGCTCAAGCCAGAGAAGCCAGTTTTAAACCAGAGAAGGAAGGAATTTCCTGGCCTCAGCTCAAGCCAGAGAAGCCAGTTTTAAAGCCAGAGAAGCCAGTTTTAAACCAGAGAAGGAAGGAATTTCCTGGCCTCGGCTCAAGCCAGAGAAGCCAGTTTTAAAGCCAGAGAAGCCAGTTTTAAACCAGAGAAGGAAGGAATTTCCTGGCCTCGGCTTAAGCCAGAGAAGCCAGTTTTAAACCAGAGAAGGAAGGAATTTCCTGGCCTCGGCTCAAGCCAGAGAAGCCAGTTTTAAAGCCAGAGAAGCCAGTTTTAAACCAGAGAAGGAAGGAATTTCCTGGCCTCGGCTTAAGCCAGAGAAGCCAGTTTTAAAGCCAGAGAAGCCAGTTTTAAACCAGAGAAGGAAGGAATTTCCTGGCCTCGGCTTAAGCCAGAGAAGCCAGTTTTAAACCAGAGAAGGAAGGAATTTCCTGGCCTCGGCTCAAGCCAGAGAAGCCAGTTTTAAACCAGAGAAGGAAGGAATTTCCTGGCCTCGGCTCAAGCCAGAGAAGCCAGTTTTAAACCAGAGAAGGAAGGAATTTCCTGGCCTCAGCTCAAGCCAGAGAAGCCAGTTTTAAACCGGAGGAGGAAGGAATTTCCTCCATTTGCTTTTCCCCACTTCTGGTCCCTGGCCTCAGTTCACGCCAAGGCAGAGGGACCAGAAGCGGGGGCAAGCGGAGGAAACTCCTTCCTTATCTAGACTTGGCTCAAGCCAGAGAAGCCAGTTTTAAACCAGAGAAGGCAGGAATTTCCTCCACTTGTTTTTCCCCACATCTGGAGTAAAACAACTACTTTCAAAGTAACGACCACTCAATGAAACAGGAAATAACACTTTCCAACCATTAACTAAAGGATTCGGATGTCTCAGAAGTTTCGGAAAGTTTTGAATTTTTTTTCTGTGAAAATCGAAGTTGAGTTTTGAATCGAGCCACCAGCATCTGAAACAAGTTTTGAACTTTTTTTTTAATCAACCAAGCCTAGCCCAATAAAGACTTACCAACGGGATCGACGACGTCTATGTGGTCGACAAAATCCCTCTTTCCAAGGTAGACTGTGAGCTGCGAAGGAGAGACAAAAACACATCAGGAAGATGTCAGCAACCAACACAAGACAATCCAAGTGAATCGCACTGGCTTTTTCAGCTGCTGCATCACACAAATGGCTCATGCACTCCAATGCAGGCCAATTGGACCCTGTGACTTTGGTTGTTTGGCTTGAACTTATTATTATTATTATTATTATTATTATTATTATTATTATTATTAATGCAACAAGTGCAGATGGGATGTCTAGTATGAAAACCATGGATTCTACCAAAAATATTAAAAATTAAACAATTATCCTGAAGTCTTATTGTATTTTGGGCATGGTGTCTTAATATTTTTGTTGTGCAATTGCATCGTACGCTGTTGCATCCCTTCCCTCTGTATTTATTTGGGTTTGTTTATTTTGCTTACAAACTGATGGTTCTATATAAACAAGGAATAATCATAACATTGTTGTTATTGTTGTACTGGGGCTGAAGCTGGGGTGCCTTGTAGGAAACCCATGCAATTTACCATTGAGAGTTAGGGTCAAATAGTAGTTCACTCCAAAGCAATACCCAGAGAGCAAGAAAAACATCAATAGGGTTGTTGTAGGTTTTTTCGGGCTATATGGCCATGGTCTAGAGGCATTCTCTCCTGACGTTTCACCT